GCCAGGCAACGAAGGGCGGAGAAACGAAGGCAGCAGTTACAGAGACAGACTCATAAGAGATAATCAAGCTCAGGTGGTTGTGGCTTGGCTCCTCCCAAGAGAGTATATAAGAAGAGACTTTGGGAGGAGACCTTTTGCAGGACACAACCGTTCATAACAACCTGGAGAAGCTCTTGTTTGTATTGTATCTTTTATCTGTGGGAGTCTGGGTTGCTGCCAACGTCTTGCCTGTGCGTCGTGTGTGGGCTGTGAATAAAGCGTGTCTAACAGTAAGCCTGTGTCAGCATTAATCACCAGACAGAGTGGGGTCAGAACAGGTGTGAGAGGAATCACTGTCAGGTGCATCCACAACAGCCAAGTCTCCTGCACCTGACTCTATCCCTCTGAGCCCCCCACCTCCGGTAATCATGGAAAAAGATGTGTGAGGTCTGTTTTTACAGACAAAACCCTGGAAAAGCACCAGACCCAGACAAGGTAATTCCTTCCTGCTTGAAAGTCTGTGACCAACTAGCCCCCGTCTTCACCTGCATTTAAAATAAATCACTGGATATGTGTTATGTCCCTTCTTGTTTCAAATGCTCTACTATCATCCCAAGAAACCAAGAAACCCTTTATCAAGAAGCTGAATGACTACTGATTGGTTGCTTTGACATCTGTAGTTATGAAAACCTTTGAAAGGTTAGTGCTGGCCCACCTAAAAGCCATAACACATCCGCTGCTAGACCCCTTGCAATTTGCCTACCATGCAAATAGATCAGCAGATGCTGCTATCAATATGGCACTGCACTCTTTCTTATAACATCTTGAATCCCAAAAGACCTATGCAAGGGTCCTTTTTGTAGACTTCAGCTTGGCATTCAACACCATCATTACAGAAATCTTTTCCTCTAAACTGACTCAGGTAGCTATGCCTGACCACACATGCAGATAGATTATAAATTTTCTACAGATAGGAAGAAGGAGGTGAAGCTAGGTAAAATCACACCGAATACTTGTTTGATTAGTACAAGAGTTGCCCAGGGCTGTGTGCTCTCTCCATCACTCTTCTCTGTATATACCAAGACTACATCTCGGCATTAACAACTTTTTTATTAGTTTATCCAAGTCTAAGGTACGAAGAAAAAAAAACATGGAAAAGTAAGAAAGGAAAGCAAGAAGGAAGGGAAAAAGAGGGGTTATAGAGTAATGGGTAGAAAAAAGAAAAAGGCAGCAACTTCCAACTCTCTTTGGCACAGTCAAGGTAACAACATTAGAACTACAACTTTTTGCTTTTACACAACAATATGTACAGGCCATTTCTATAACAATAAGCCCGTCTGATTTACAAAAAGAGAATCAAGGTTTCATATATTATTTTTTCTTTCTCACAAAATCCGGAAGCATTTTCAAACTAGAGACAAAATTGAATATAATTTCCTATTTGGATAAAAGAAACATTTTAACCATCTCAGCTTCCTTTGCTGAGGGGAATAATATAGCATTCATTCTCATATTTTCATATATAGTGCATAATATTTTACCAACTTTAGAATATTGTTCAGCATTACTTAAAAACTGGCCTCTATAGTTTGTAAAGATAATAGTCTCATACATTATTTAAGAAATGAAGGGCACAGCTTATTGTCCATTTGAAAAATAAATTCCAAAACAGCTGTTTTATCCAACATCGATGTGGTTTCAATCCCGCCTCCCAGCTTCAGCTCACCAGTTATCTTTGAAGCTCAGCTTCTAAAACTGCTTGCAGGCTGTTGCTGTTATCAGAAGATCTTGAGGGATGATTCTGGGACTTTCCTTAACTTGGAAAATAAAGCAGACAAAAGGAAGCCTGCTCCTTTTGTTGTTGAGTTTGAAAAATGACAGTCCAGAGAGAGGAGATACTCTGGGCATATCAGCTGTCAGCCATGTCTTCACCGGAAGGACCAATGACTACATCTCAAAGGATCCCTTTGTTAAAAGTACTGAAGTTTGCAGATGATACAATATTCATTTGAGACAATGATGAGTTTGCATATAGATGGATCAACTGGCCCTGTGGTGCAGCCAGAACAACCTGGAGCTGAACACTTTTGAAACTGCAGAGTTGATAGTAGATTTTAGAAGAAGCTCTCCTATTCTACCACCTTTTACAATATTAGGCAACACAGTATCAACAGTAGAGACCTTCAGGTTTCTAGATTCTATTATCTCTGAGGATTTGAAACAGACACCTTAGAACCATCATTAAAAAGGCAAAACAAAGAATGTTCTTCCTGCATCAACTCAGAAAGCTCAAATTGCCCAAGGATTTACTGATATAGTTCTATAGAGGAATTATTGAATCTGTCATTTGTCCCTTTAACTGTCTGGTTTGGCACAGCAACCAAACAGGACCAGGTACAGAATTCAATGGATAGTTAGAACTGCAGAAAAAACAATTGCAATTAACCTGCCTTCCATTGAGGATCTGTAGACTGCACGAACCAGAAAGAGAACTGAGAAAATATCTACAGACCCCTCTCATTCTGGACACTGACTATTTCAGCTTCTCCCCTCTGGATGCCACTACATAGCATTGCATGCCAAACAATTAGACACAAAGATAGTCCCCCTTCCCATGCCATCACTTTGTTGAACACTAATTTCCACAGCACTCTCGTAGGCCTAAATATATTTACCCATGTAGTAGGCCATATTGATACTATCCTTCTCATCTTCTCATCTTTCTAATATATTCTCCTGTTGGTACCTATGATTTATCCCTCATTGTCATATATTATGATTAATCATTGTAACTATGATCTATGATCTATCACTTTATTGTTTGTATATACATTGAGAGCATATGGACTGGAGACAAGTTTCTTGTGTGTCAAATCACACTTGGCCAATAAATCTAATCTAATCTAAACTAATCTAATCCTATTCTACTCTACTCTACTCTTTGTTGTTGTTAGTTGCGAAGTCGTGTTGGACCCATCGCAACCCCATGGACAATGTTCCTCCAGGCCTTCCTACTCTACTCTACACTCTATTTTACCTTTTAAGTGCTTTTATTGTATCAGTTAATCAATTTCATTTAATCATTGATCAGCAAATGTTTTACTGTGTGAAAAAGGCAACATGATAATTTATACAGTGAAACTACTACTGGGATAGATATTGTTAATCAATGCAGAATATCCAATCTAAATGGAATCCCATACCTCTCTGTTTTTCATTTTCCAGCTTTGTATCTTATTAATTTTATGTATTGCTTCTTCAATAATTCTCACATTCCCTTATTAGTGCATCTCCATAAATAGAACATAGGTCAGTATTTATATATCTGTATTTATAGGAAAGTAATAAATGGGATTAGCATGTTGAGAAATAGGCCTAGCCCATATTGGTTATAGAAACATACAGCTTGGACCTTGCTTAAGAGTGTGACCATGTCCTTAACTGAATTTCCAGTTATTTCTAACATAATCTAGGGGTCACTTTGGAAACAGCAGAAGACTTTAGTGAATTACAGCATGGTGCCAAACTAGCTCCCTGGAGGAGCTGAAGCCTTGAAACTTTTGTTTATGAAGAAAATTGTAAGAAAATTGTTGTTTATTCATTTTTGTTTGCTTTATTTTTAATATCATTTTCTTTTCTAGGAGTTAATTTGGAGATTCCAGAACCTAAAGAAGCTATCTACCATCAAAGTGAAGACAAAGATGTCTATCATACTGTGGAACAAGACAGCTTTCCCCAGGAAATGGTTAACAGGCCACCTGTTCCTGTTCCAAGACCTGATCCCTCCTCCATACAACAAGACAAAGAACCATACATTTATAAAGGTGACTGGTGAAAAAATTCTGATAACTTTTTTGCTAGACAGTGTAGAATAGGAGGGGAGTTTGTCCATTTTAATAGATGTCAAATTATTATTTCATTTCAGAGTTTTGTGCCTCTTCTTTACAAATTGCAAACATAATAAAGTGAAAAAGTAAATATTAATTTATGGCCACACACCATTGCATAAATGGAGCTGTGCACCTGCCACTCACATGCCTACCCACCCTCATGCTGAGCCACCAAGCCGGAAAGGTTGGGGACCACTGCATTAGTTGAAAGTTTTTACTTTCAGGAGTTTTTACTTTATGGTCTAACCTGAATATATTGCCTTGTGATTTCCACCCATTATTTCTGCTTTTGCCTTAAATAATACCTTTAATTTATATTGTATTTTCCCAAAAATAAGATCTGGTCTTATATTTTGGGGTTTTTTAAATAAGTACTGGGGCTTATTTTTGGGGAAACACAATTTCAGGGTGATTTCGGGGAAGTACAATTTCAGCCTGGCTGAGTCCCATCCCCCCCAGCATGCACACAAAGGCGGCAAGCATGCAGGGGCAGATATCGGGCAGCAGCCACAGCCCACTGGCCCCTTGGTTGGTGTGCTCTGGGGCTGTACAGTTGTTGATTAACTGTCCAAGCAGCTGATGGCGTGCGGGAGGGGGGGGGTTGACACACAATTCGGACCCGCTGCACTGTGGGAAAGCCAAGAGTCAGTGGGCTGGAGCGGACGGCTGGCCGCGGGGAGTTCGTCTTCATGTCTCTTGATTTGCCTGCGGCCTAGTAGTTTAGTAAGGTAATTTAGAAGTAATTTAGTCAACCCCTTACTCACTACAGGAGCTGCAAAAACATTTTGGGCAGATGGCTATCCAAATGATCCATCCTATATTTGAAAACTCCTGGGGAAGGAGAAAATCATTACATAAACTAACTTATTCTACTGGTTGACAGCTTTTGTCATCATCAGAAACCTCTGATAAGTAAACTGAATCTATATACCTGAAGCTTGACCTATTTGTTGCGGTAATAGTCTCTAGGCAACCGGCAATGTCTTATTCTGTAATCTAATAGTTCCATTTGAAGGGATTTTTTAAAATAAATTCTCTTTGATTCCCAGGGAAGATTCCTCTGAAAGATAGTTCCCCCGCAGTTTGTATTGTGAAAATGGTCCTGAATCAGTTATGTCATCATGTCTTTAAAAGTTTGTCTTATGGTGATAAAAAATTCTGTTCAGCTATATCATTTAAAAACTCATATAGTGTAGAATTCTCCCCTTTTAAAATGTGTTTCAATACTCCTCAATACTTCTTCAGTACTCCTCTGAGTTTTGTTCCTATTTGTATTTATATTTCTTTTAATGTTACGTTTGATAAAATGATTTATATTTCAAAATGATTTTTAACAGTTTTTTAATATGTGCTACTTACACAACTATATTATGAACTTTTAAAATGTTTTAAATAAATTGTACATGTTCAGTATTTACAGGAAAAGATCAGGAGAAATCTGGGAATCTTTATGTTTCTGCAAAAAACATTGGCAAAGGTGAGTCACGAATACAGAATTTGACAATGTGATTTAAGAGCTGGAACATAAGTAGTCATACAAGATTCCTCTTCTATCTGCAGTGATGAACTGTCTTAGTAATATTTATCTTCCCTGTTTTTATACAATCTCAGAAAAGAGCACTCTCCAACTCTTAATTTTACTTGACAGGTCTTCAGACATTTCTAGAAATACTGCTAAATTTACTACACTATCATAGGTTAAGTTGTCTAGTAGTTTTGGGAACTTCAGAAGTTTCACAAATTTGGCTGTGAAAATTTCTTGATATTTATAATCGGTTTTATTGCTTTCTCATGCCAAGGTTATTTTGGTCTTCAGTGTAATTTAACTAAATAAATAGAGGAGTCTGGAGTCTGCATGGCAGACTAAAAAGTCTCTGGAAACATTGTGGCGATGACTGGTGGACAGACAATAACTTCTGGGCAGCAGAGCCTCTTCAGATAAAGAGAGATTTAAAAAAATCTTCCACCTATATTTCAAATGACTACTATTTATGAAGAGACTGCAGGAATTAAACTTGGGAGTTGAATGGCAGGGAATTAAAGACGATCCAGTGCGCTTACGACTGCAACACAGGCATTTAGGGATACCGGGTTTGGATCTTCCTTTCTTAACCACATTTGGATATAATCAGTTTATAGAGAGAAATCTTTAAATCAGCAGGATGAAGAAAAAAACCACTTTGTGAATCAGCGTTCCCTATAGATTAAAGACAGAAAAAAACAATAATTTTGATAAGAATTTTAAATTAATAGCAAAAAGCTTAATTCTATTTGAACAATTTAAATTTATTTTGGCAAAAGCGCTTTTTATACTATTTGGAAATAATTAGGCAAATAGACCACACCTTCATGGGAATACTTATTCTTTAATATCAAAGAGAAAAGGCAATTATTGGATGTTACAAAATAAAGAAATAAATGTAATATGAGATAGATTGTGTGACTGCCTGGAATGCCAGTTTGGACTAAAGTCTTAAGGGCACAGAAGAGGCTAAAAAGTGGTCAGGACTCCTGGGGAAGAAATGATGAACTGGAGACAGTGATGGAATGAAGACCTGGCAATGAGCCAGCACTTTCTAGTGCAGGGGCGTCCAAACTTGGGAACTTTAAGACTTGTGGACTTCAACTCCCCAGGCTGGCTGGGGAATTCTGGAAGTTGAAGTCCACAAGTTTTAAAGTTCCCAAGTTTGGACACCTCTTGCTCTAGCAGATTTAGAGGTCAAGTGAGATAAGGAAAACCATCTTTGCTCAAACGGCAATTGATGCCTTTCCAAAGGACACTGGATCCACATACTTCCTTTTCTAATCTGGAAGTTGAGTCATAGCAACTGGTTTTCTTTTCTATTTGGATTTAAACATTTCGCTGCTTATGCAAATAGCATCTTCAGTCTGAGCAACTTGGTGAGAGGGACCTTGTGTACGTCTTCCAGTGTAGTTCCATTTCTCATCTAATCTGAATAAACTTGTTAGGTCAGTAGGCAGAGTAGTGTTTTGATGGGCTTGAAGAAGACAGATATGTAGTGTTTTCCAAATATTTCTGTTCTTCAAACCTACTGACACACTGAATCAGAGGCTTGTCCACCCTAAAGTTTGGACACCAAAACATAAGACAATGTATGTAGCGTATGCAGTCCAGTTCAGTGAGAGTATTCAGAACTGTATGTTGAAGAAACTAAGTAGCCTTTACACAAGAGAATAGCCCAGCACAGGATAAACAATACCATAAGACTAGAATCAGCACTGTACCTTCATTTAAAAGAAAGAAGACACTCCTTTGAGGATCATAATATTAACATTTTGGGCAGGGAAGATAGATGGTTTGAAAGATGAGTGAAGGAATCCATTTATGCCAAAGTAGAAAATTGTTCCCTGAATAGAGGTAGACACAATCGGTCCCCCATTTTTTATGCTGCTCTTACATCAGGCCTGAGGAAAATCAAGACCACTTTGCAGGTTCACCAAGGAGTCCATACTAAATGACCTCTTAGGAGAAAGGATTTAGGAGCAACAACTCTCTCCTACTCACCTATCAAGCCTATTCAGATTAGGTAAGAAATGAAACTACCCTGGAGAATATAAGTGGGGTCCCTCTCACCAACTTGCTCTGACTGAAGAAGCTACCTGGATAAGCATCAAAACATTTCAAACAATTAAAAAAAAGAAATCCAGTTGCCGTGACTCAGTTTCCAGACAACTCTACCTGGATGACTGAGAATCTTCATCGACATATATTCCTTTTCTAATCCAATTCAGAAATTGCTTGTTAACTGCTTTTCATCTACTAGGAACTTTTGGATCAACCTGTTTTATAGCACAGGGTGAGTTTCTTTAAATCTTTAGTGAAAGAATGTTAAGTACTAGTCTAAGAATTTTAAAAAAACATGTTTTGGAATAAACAGGAACAAGATGATTAGAATTTTGATTTGGAAAATTTCAAACTGACTAAGGATCCAAATGGATTTGAAATAAATTATCAAAATCCTTCCTATAGGAAAGTACTTTTGTTTTGCTAGGATGGAACACTGAAGGTTGGAAACTTTTAAGGAATCAGAAGGAACTAAAGATTACAATTAAAGGTTAAGAATGGAATAAGAGGAATAAGAATGATATAGAAAAAAGATGTTAGAGGGGTATACAAATGAACCCTTATTATGATATCTTAATTAAAAAGGATATGCATATAAAAAACCAAAAGAGTGACCTGGGTAACTTCCCTACATTGGATTTACAAAAGAGAATGTTTAAAACTTGGAAGAATTTTGTGAGAAGGAACAAAGAAAATAAATTAAAAGAAACCAAGTTCTAGGACTGTGATGGTGACTCTATGGCATACGTGCCACAGGTGGCACACAGAGCCATTTCTTAGGGCACATGAGGTGTTGCCCTGTCAGCTGCAGCATGCATGTGCGCGCTGGCCAGCTGATTTATATATATATATACATAGATACATACATACATACATACATACATATATATATATCTTTACAATGTTTTAATTTCTTTTTTTCTGTTTTTTTCTTTCCTGCATTTTATTATTTATTTATTTTTTAGTTTATATTAGTGTTTATTATTGTAAATTATAATCTTTATAAAATTACTACAAGGAAAACCAAGAGAGAACAAATGGTGGGAAACCAAATCTTGTTTAAACCAGAAATTTTTCTCCTAGGTATAATACCGGAGGGATTTAAGAAAGATACACTTTATCTAATTATACATGTACTAACTGCG